TTTTGGTTTATTCGTCCGTTATTACTAAGCGTTTCTGAAAAACTTCAAGGAACAGCGTGAGCATGAGCGTAGCAAGAGCTGGGCATTAACGGTTTACGAGACGTGACTGACAGTTTCTGACGGTTGAAATGTTATCACTTGAGAATATAAAACAGACGTTGTTGGCAACAGATCACTGAGAATTGATAAAAAAGGCGAAACAACCATCTCGATTCTTACTTGAACCACATTGGTATTATCCGTGCATACTGAAAACATTCAGTGAGATTAAATTGTCATCACATGAATCGTAAAGAGAAGATATTTGCAGGTTATTACACATGTATCAGGATAAATGCTTGAACAGAAAAGAGCGTCTAAGAAATTAATGGTCTTCGATAACGATCGAAAAATTGTGCACATAATCAAAAGAACGCAAGGCGATGAAAAACGTTTGAGTTGTCAGAATGTGCAAATTCTCTGCTGCCTCAATTTTTAAGCCCCCAGATTCTGCAGCTCATATGTAGAAAATGAGTTGGGTGTGTCAATGGAGTTGAAGATTGAACGATCAATTCTTGGTTGTTTGCTTAAAATCAACTTCCCCAATTTTGGCGGAGGCATCAATACGACAGTCATCGTTTCATCGGTCGCTGTTCAGAAAGAAGAGTGAAACACCGTCAGAAGTAATATTGTGATTTATTATTGTAATATTTGTTTACAGACCTTAGTTCGCTTATTCCTTTAATATGTTGGTGTAACAATAAACAAATCTCAAGCGGCAGATCGGTGTTTTGGTTTTTGCGTCCGTTATAACTAAGCGTTTCCGAAATCTTCGAAGAACAGCGTGGGCCCGAGCGTAGCGAGAGCTGGGCATTAACGGTTTATGAGACGTGATTGACAGTTTCTGACGATAGAAACAGACCTGGCGGATTCAAGCAGTTGGTGAAAGTTTGGATAGTCGCCGTTCATTTTTCCTGGTGCCGGTCAAGTCCTCTTTGAACAAGAAATATCTGGAATATTTTTGGAATTGGGTCAAGTTCAACAATGCCTGGGTCAAAGAAGGGACAGAGTGTCTTGGATGCACACGAGAAAGTAAGTCATAGTGACTTGTCTGATACTTGTAACGATGTGTCTGATGTTAAGCATGGCATGGTTGATGTTACTGTTTCGCCGTCTAGGGATAATAGGAACATCAAACTCCCTAAATTTGAACCCCGGTGTTTCGATCGAAACCCGGCTGATTATTTACAATTTGTAAAGGAGTTTGAGATCATTCTGAGTGGTTTTTTATTAAATGATGAATTGAAGTTAATGTATTTGATGAGATATTGCACTGGAGATGCTTCAAGAGCTATACAGTGCTGTAAGTTTATGAAGCCAAAAGAGGGCTACTACGAGGCTATGAGCATATTACGTCAAAGGTTTGGAAGACCTTCGATGATTGCAGGGAAATTATTCGAGGCTGTTAAGGGTAATGGTGGTCAATTACAGGATGACTCACAGGCACTCACTGAGTTTTTAGATAATTTGCTAATTTACAAGAATGAAATGATTTCGATGAATCGCACGAGTGACCTCAACTCGAATTTTATACTAGAAGTAATAGCAAGACGTCTACCTACTCGACTGCAAAGGAAGTGGGTGAAGATGAGCTCCCGTATGGAGGATGAGGGTATCGAGCCAAAGTTTGATGATATCATGAAACTGGTAAATACTAGTGTCAATCAATCGATGAGCAAGTTTGCCAGTATATTGAATCTCACCACTAGAATAGAGCAGTCTGTGGGTGAAACGCAATCATTGATGACGAGTAGGCCTCAGAGAGGTGGTTATCGAGAAAGCTCCTTGATGTCTAGTAATGCATATAGACCTAGTGAGTGTAACAGGTTTCGTAGTACATCCTCAACTGATAGGTTACAAGATGCAAGACAAACACGGTTTTGTTTTACACGTGTGCAAGAGGTGCATACAGAAGTGAACTGTGAACCGGTGAGCAAGTTCAGTGATAAGCTAAATGTAAACTCCAGACCTGACTCCGAATTGTGTGACGATAACTGTGCGGTGAAGAAGTCTGTAGTTGCAACTGTTAAGCCGTTGTTGAATAAAGTGTCACAGAATAGAGTTGCTGCTTCAGAGTGCAGTTCTGACCCTACAAGTTTACAAGGTATTACTAGTCAGAGTGAAGTTATAAAACCTTTTTGGATTTGCGAGGAGGAACCAAAATTGTCTACTTCTGTTATTACAGAGTTTGAAAATGATGAACTTGACGGTAAAGTGAATATTCGTGATAATGATCATGATACTTCACAGTTGTCTTTGGTTGATCATTATGAGATGAGGGATATGCCTACTACTGCTAAGTTAAATAAAGGTTCTGTACAACTACAACGTGAAGTAGAATTGAACGCAGATGCAGTTCCAAAAGGTGTGCATACTTGTGAGACAGTCAGTGTAATTGATCAGCGTGTAGCCCACCTATCATCAGATGATAGTGCTAAACCCGAACTAGTAGTGAAAGACAGCAGTGGTGGTAATCTTGCAGTTGGACAACTATCTGAGAGCCGAACAAGAACAGCTTCTGATCCACCACTAACTTCATCAACTGATATCAATCAGTCGTCGTTGGTGCTGTCATCCACAATGAAACAGACACCCATCAACTCAAGTATCTTGTGCAATGACTATGCTAGTATCAGTTCGTTTGAAAGGACGAATATCAATGGTCAGTTTAGTGTGGATAAGCCCAGTGTAAACGAGAGAGTTATTGTTAAATTGACTTGCACGAATAAAGGCATTTCTAGTTTCAAGTTACTATTTGAATGTTATTATCTTTGGTGTAAATTACTCTGTTTCTATACTTGGTTGATGAGATATGTCGTGTGTTTGTTGGTCATCTATATTCTACGATACAATGACATGGGCGTGTTGCCGTTCAGATTTGAGGATATAGCTGATAGAAGTAAGTTAGCAAATGAACTCTTCGACGATTTTCCAACCTAGGGCGTCAACCTGAGAAGGGTTGTAGGCGTACTGGTGTAAGTCCTACAGTTCTTCAAAGAGTAGCGCATCAATGAGCAGTCAAATGTGCTTGGTGTATGATCTTGTACATATGTTCATATTGCATATACTGAATTGATATCATCTGTCATCTAGCTGTTGGTAATTCTGTTTGTGTCCGGACGACTTCCACTTGGATCATCAACCTGAGAAGGAATGTAGGCGTACTGCTGTAAGTCCTACAGTTCTTCAAGGGTAGTTCGTCAGAGCAGAATCCACCACATTTGATGTGTTGATTGTACATATGTTTGTGTTAAATAGTTGTGTGAGTTTTAATTGATGTAATTGTTGGTTAATCTTGTTTGTGTCTGGACATTCCACAACTTACAATCGTCAACCTGTGAAGGGTTGCAGGCGTACTGGTGTAAGTCCTCCAATTCTTCAAAATAATTCCACCAAGACATGATCCGCGAGGTTATTTGTACTGTTTGTGTATACGTGTGGTGTGTCTTCGCAATTTGTGATTTTGGATCAGTTGTGTTTACTCGTTGTTTTCATGCCTTGTTTTTATTGCATAATTTTGTTAAAATTTTCGTCGTGATTACTTCTGAAGTTGTTTCTTGTCTTCTACATCCGTGAATGAATTGATTGATGTTAGAGACAGCAGATGGGTCGTATACGCCGGGGAGGCTAGGCTATTGCTGAGAATGAAACGCACACGGAGATAATTGTTAGCCGCGGTCCGACACGCCGGGGAGAAAGAGTGTAAACGACTGAGGCTCGCATGCGTCACCGCTACTAGAACTGAGGCAGAATGAGTGACAAGCGATTTCAGTGGTAATTGGTAGTGAGTAATTAAGAGGATGTGCGTAGAGTATCGTGAGGTGCTGCCATGGTCACTTTGCATTCTGCAAGAGTCATTCTAGCAAATGGCGATTGTGTTGCAAGATGTCAAGAGGTGGTCTCTGTCTGGAGGCGCAGGTCGTCATTGATGTGTGAGATTGTGCTGTGAGTATGCTTGTGGTGTGTTGGCTTTTCTGTTTGTTTTCCATTTCAGCTCTGTCCGTGTGACCCAGGTTCTCGCAATGGCATCCAAGTCAACGTGCATTGGTCGTGAAGGAAAAAAGGGTTGGATCCCTTTTTTGCCGGGGAGTGTCAATGGAGTTGAAGATTGAACGATCAATTCTTGGTTGTTTGCTTAAAATCAACTTCCCCAATTTTGGCGGAGGCATCAATACGACAGTCATCGTTTCATCGGTCGCTGTTCAGAAAGAAGAGTGAAACACCGTCAGAAGTAATATTGTGATTTATTATTGTAATATTTGTTTACAGACCTTAGTTCGCTTATTCCTTTAATATGTTGGTGTAACAATAAACAAATCTCAAGCGGCAGATCGGTGTTTTGGTTTTTTCGTCCGTTATAACTAAGCGTTTCCGAAATCTTCGAAGAACAGCGTGGGCCCGAGCGTAGGGAGAGCTGGGCATTAACGGTTTATGAGACGTGATTGACAGGGTGTTTCCAGATGTAAATATGATATGCAATTAGGTTGTCAATATCGCAAAGGCGAACAGCGTGGTCCAAATAAAAATCAAAATTGTTTAGCATACAAGTAAGTCAGTGTAACGAGAAATACCAAAAATGTGATTATTTTTTACCTCAGCTACTTATGGCTCTTTCTGACAACAGTATTGTTTGAACAGTACCCACATAACGTACGATCCTTGGGAAAGCTTGTATGTGTTTACCAATCTCACTGTCTCTACACCACTTGTATCTGCGAAAAGAGGCGCCAAGAATTTGCACCAGTCAGTTTGTAGCGTAATGACTTGTAAGACTAACTGCCACCCTCTAATACTGTTTGTGAGCAGAACAGTCAAAATATCTAGTTGTATTATACTCGAATGTCATGTGGTTGTAAACTATTGCATCTGTATCCATTGCCACTCTAAAACTGCAAATCAGCCCACAGATACACAGACTTCTCGTAATGGCTTACACAGCACTGATGCAGCCCACTGCAAGGGGACAAGTATTGCAGCCTTATTCCCTGGAATGGAATATTTCAGTACAAGTGTACAAAAACTATATCAGATGCAAAAGGTCTAAGACGACTTTCATCTAAAGAACCCATCGCGATCGCCCCTAGTTGCAAACATATTCAAATAAGCATTCATCAATAACTGGAAAGTTTGACGTGGTTAATGAGCCAGTCCTAATAACTGTGACTGTAAATTTGATTGGAAACTAACCAATCTAATTCCTTCGTAATAAAAATTATTTACTGCCATATGGAAATAAAAACAAGTGATTCCTAGTTTACTTTGATTTGGTCTGAAGTAGCTCTATGACGCTCATTTTTATCATAATGGATGGCATACTTCTAAATAATTTTGTATGTACTTTCCAAAACCTTTCAAAGATACCTACTGCTTTTTTTAGGATTTGAGGTTAGCGAGCCAAAGCTATAATCCACAGCGGTCAACATTTCAGATTTAGTTACTGGTCAAAAATGGAAATCTTGGGAGAAACTGCCTTAAATTAAATTACCAGTGCAGTTCGACAAGAGCTAAGGAGAATTCCAAGGAAACTCGTACCCAGGTCGTGAGAAAACCTACATCTACGGCCATCAAATACTAGCTACATATATTCACTAGGTGGACTTTGACAATACAGACAGACCTTTATCACAAAATTCCGCTTTAAATCTGTCTAAATCACGAGACAGCTACTCGAGCCGCATCTTAAACCATATCACTTCACCGTAAGAAGCAGAGTGATATCAACGCAATTCAATGTAGCTGGCGATCAGCTACAACCATGACTGCATTTATGGAGGTTTGGGCAGCCGGTTAGTTTTAATGGCATTCTCATAATTCATGGTTCATTGCCGACTGCACAGAACTCCAAGTGGTTGTTGAATAAAATTTCACTCTCATTTGCCAAACAGCACTATATTTTCTTAATGTGTACTTTTCCCTCATTGGCAAGTATAGTGTGATGAAATTTTGACAACCACACGCACATAGCAAACCATATATGAATGACATAACTGATAAGGCCACTAGCGTCTATAAGATTTCGCCATTTACGAGTTTACCGATATGCGGTACCATGACCCCACCAATATCTAGTCCCTAAATAGAAAAACCCAGACATGATTTCACAGAAGCAGTTTTCCAAAAATGCCGAGAAAATTCCCGAGGCAAGGTGATGATATGGCTATGATAGCTCATGTCCCAAGTATAAAATGTACTACACGCCCCAGGATTGGGGCTTGCTAGCTTGATAGCACAAATCTCGATATCACGCAGGATCCTAATCCTTATGGTAGATAAAATAACTACTGAGTATGTTCCATATTAAATCCAAGACTTATAAGCAACAATAATACTTCACAGATAACAGGAAATTTCGCGATTCGCAACAATCACCCACAACACAACACTGAACAATTCTACACTAGTTCACGCCACGTAGGCAAACAGCTTTATGAAAACTTCCTACAATGTGCCATTACAAAAAAATACAAGCCTGAAAAGTGGAAACAGCAAATAAAAAGTCAAACTCTTGCAGAGCTACGCTCCTGGCTTATCGAATAACACGCTTGCCACAAGAGATGAAAGGAAAAATACCGAACGCCCATAGAGCAAAATCCGATAGTAAGATCGAGCACAGCAAGTGCACACAAAGCGGTGACACCCGAGACAATACACATCATCAGCGACAGATATTCAACATACGCAAGGTGATGAAAATAGTTTGAGTTGTCAGAATGTGCAAATTCTCTGCTGCCTCAATTTTTAAGCCCCCAGATTCTGCAGCTCATATGTAGCAAATGAATTGGGTGTTTTCAGATGTAAATTTGATATGCAATTAGGTTGTCAATATCGCAAACGCGACCAGCGTAGTCCAAATACACAAGCTCACGGAATTGCACCAGATTCGACGTCACGGGGCATCCAACATAAAAAACATAACACCTCAAATGTTGTAACTCTTTGCTGCATTTCACATTCACCTGTCTTCAACATAACAAGTTCTGGATTCTTCTGAATTAGAACAGTATATTTTACTACAACAAATCTTACAGATAAAGTACCATCTTCTGGCGTATTTCACCTAATAGTTGCACACTGCATTACGTCCTATTACGACCATCTTAAAAACCTGTTATTCATTTAACAGACGCTAATACACAGCCATTACACCTCAATGGCAGGAATATACACCACATACAGTACGAAGTAACTAAGTTATAAAGCCACCACTATACAGACATAGAGAAAACGCAACGTCTTTAGTATTCAAGACGTCAGCATTCGATAGAGCGCTCCACAAAAATTATTTCATGTAATCAAATGACATTATAAGTGAGAACTTACATCCTTCGCACGACATGATTCCGTTGGGATATATCTACACCTTTTCGCCAATCATTCTGCTCCATAGGTGTACAGTTTGAAGTAGTATGACTACTGACCCCATTTAAGCCTGATGTGTCTGAAATTTGAGTACTAGGGACGACTGCAGCTGGTGCTCGAACAACACTTGGATTGTTAGGAACACTTCCAATGGATGTAACACGAAAATTCTGACTAGGTGGTTGAAGTGAAGCACACGAGTGAGGACTGGAGTCTACACCATTCACTTCAGGAACTCGGTTAGGAGCCGTGTGCACTTGAACTGCATTTTGAGGGCGTACCATTTGATTGCGTTGGTAATGCTGGTTTTGCTTTAGAGGTTCACACACTGGACATTCTCGGTTATTGCAGTTCTTCCAGTGTGAAATTATTTGACGAGAGGAAGCACAGTGCGGGGTCTGGCAGTTCTTGCCTTGTGTACAGGATGTCATATGTTGCAAAACTCCACGCATCGTGTTACAGTGTGGTGTATTACACTGTACTATCCTTCCATTGCTTTCGTCTTCTTGGCGTTGGCAGCGTCGAGCATGCAGCAAGAGAATCAGCTGCTGTTGAATAAGCTGACGTTTTTCTGGGTCTGTTGCTACGACGGACGGGGCACTTGTTGTAGCCGTATAGGTCTGACCAACTTGGTGACTACTCGAGGCAGGAGCAGTATTACGAATGTTTGCTGGTCCACTCATGACGGAAGGATTTTGGTTTGGTACGTTAGTTACAACTATCGACGAACCGAGGAGACGTGGAGAGTGATTTGGAGGGTGTACTTGTGCATTATATACATTCCTGGACAGCAATGTCTCAAGCATATCCGGCTGACTACTTGAAGTGCTGCAATGAGCATGAGTCATAGATCCAGAGTTATATCCAACATTTGAATTTGGAGATGCACGATGTACAACCGAGTGGGGATATAATGAATGAGAACTACAAACAGGGACGCATACAGTCCTGGCCTCCGACCCAATATACTGAATTGGTTGGTTATTGTTAGTCAGTGTACAAACGGGTGTCACTGTATGCAATTTAACAGAGGAACTGGATATCTGGTGTGCGGTATGAATTTCACTAGAAGATGAACAATTGTTAGCGATTGCTAGTGAGTTAGGATATTGCAATTGGGAATTTCGCAAGCTAATGGATCCACGAGGTTCATTCTGTTGAGTCTCTTGAGCCATGAATTAAATGCTAAAAAAGGAAAACACAAGTCCCAAAGGATTATTTGGTTAATATAATAGTCTAGAGCTGTATGAAATAAAATGACATCAGCACAAATCAACAGTAAGACAATACGATGGAATATTACAGTATTGAAGCCACGTGTTGTAGGATAAAAATCAGCACATAAAAAACTAGAGGTATTCATATACTTGCACAAATCATCACCTATATAATGAAAAAGCCGCATTTAAGCGAGATAATCACAGTGCCGAAATAGACAAGACCAGGAAATCCCGTGAACAATATGGCGCTCGCGCCCTAGACTATTACATGGCTCTTATTGGCCAACTACAGCTTAAGAGTATCGTAAGTAACTAAATTTGGCAAGTTTAAACAAACAACTTGAAATCAGTTTTGCATAAAGCCATATCTGTCTCTTCATACACACAGTCGAAATACTTTAGAGCTTTTTCCGAATCAGAAGGAATCAAAATTCTTCACTTAGCCTCAAAGAGAAGATATTATCTTGGATTTGCGTTTAGTTCAACGAAAGACAAAATGATTTTAAAATATGAGTAAGGTCTAAATCCTACGGGATATGGAGCAGAATCAGATTTTCTCTGGCAGCCTATGTCCTATATATCCTCTATGTCGGTAAGTGACGGAACCCCCAATTATCCTGTGATTACAACTCAGACAACCAAGTGGTTAGGGATTTGTTGTAGATTTGACGTCCTTTGAGAATGTGTGCCAGTAAAATGAATGTCCAAACATAAGTACAAGTAAACAAATAATTATTCGTGCCGTGGCATCGTTTCCTGGAATGTTGAACGAAACAACGTTGCAGTCGTAACAGATGGTTGTATGCTATCTCGGATAAACCAACAAGAAAACCTCCAATTCTGTTCCTTATAGAGTAGGATTAGGAACATACTCACATTTTAAAATCATTTTGTCTCATTGTAGTTGAAGATTGCACGATCAATTCATGGTTATTTGCTCAAATCCAACTTCCCCATATTTTCGCTGAGACATCGATACACCAGTCCTCGTCTCGTCGGTCGCTGTTCAGAAAGAACGTAGAAAAACCGTCAGAATTCCCAGTAGCCTTTATTAAGCTGATTACTTGACTAACATGGTCAATTTCATTTTGTGTCGGTTTATTGGTTATTGATGGTTTCTGACTGTTTACAGGATTGGGGATTGAAACGGTTGAATGAACTGACACTGCTGAAGGCGACTGTATCTGCGAGTGAACTTGCTGATTAGGTGATGAAAGCATAGTACTTTGGGACGCAGTTGCAGTTATAACTGGGCGAACTCGCCAACCTGAGGTGACAGATGCAGTGACAGGAGGATTCGTACGTTGAGCCGGACCTGTAATTATTGGTGGTTGCATAATGACACGACCTCCGGAAGGCATCACAGAGGAACAAACGGTAGGTGGTCGTTGGGTTGAACCCTGACTGGCCTGAGAAACGACAGTTGGAACCGCAGTCCTAGGTGGATTTGAATACTGGGAATTTCCAACAGAAAGCAACACAGAACCCTGTTGTACCTGAGAATTTTGAGATTGGAAACCTATTGAAGTGGCGTTACCGCCTTTTTCCGCTGAATTTGTGGTAGGATTGGGTAACTGTGCATTCCTTAGTGAATTGGGCGTTAGTGATGGTTGGTTGGGAGATTGAGTTTGATGCACTGAGCTAACAATACCTGGATTCAAAGAACCAGAAGCAGTGGATGCTACTGTGGAGGTAGGGCAACTTTGAGTTAAAGGTTGTGCCTCGCTGGCCGGTAATGCTCCTCGATGCATGGTGGAAATACGACGTCTGAGCAGCTTATTTTGCTGCAACCGCTGTTGTAATTGTTTCTGTTTCACCCTGTACTTTATGTTGGAACAGAAAGGAACTGGGCATTTAGACTCTTCACAACACCGGGCATGATGCCATAGCAAGGACAATAACTGGCGACAAAGCAAACAACTGTTTGTTGCTTTCTTCGTGCAGTTTCGAGTGTGACATAAAACCCGTTTCATCTGAGCACATGTTTGCATACGACAATTCGCATCTCTACATTGACAGGCATGCAGCAATGACCTGATACATCCTTCGACACTGCTTCGACGATCAGGAATTGTACCAGCACCACTAGGCCTGTCACCTGATTCTTCATTTGTACTCGAATCTTCGTCGATACCAAGACCATACTGAACCATTGGGTGAGGATGGTTTTCTGTCTTATAACAACGGGAACATAAATCATATTCCTCACAATCGTTACAATGCCATCGGGTTTCGATTTGGGCACCACAAACGTTACAGTTATACATAAAGCTCTGTCGCAATTCCATATGCAATTCATAAAGGAGAACCATTGAAGAGTACTTAGCACGACGCAAGGATGAAAATTCCAAATGTCTTTCGCGGGCCATCTGTAGAAACGCATCCCGACTGTCCATTAATTCACTATGTACAGGTTGGTCTGGATCAGTAGTGGGTGGAAGCGAAGCAGCTGAATTGTGTCGATGAAGACGGATGACAAAAAATATTTCCTTTAACTTCTCCATAGTATCGTAAACCTTGCGTGAAAGCTCTTCAGCGCCATCAATAGGTCCATCCAAACGTTTTCGCTTACTTGCAGTGGATGTATTGCCTTTTTTATTACCTTTACGTTTCTTCGCCTTTTTCTTACCACTACGCTTATCTGGGTCCCCAGACAGCCCCTCGTTGGTAGAACTGGAACAATCCGCCTCATCATCTTCAGCCTCCACTTGAGCCATGGCTTCTTCACGGCGTCGACGAGCCTCCTCTTCCTCAAGCTCCTAAGGAAAAATGAAATGTTTGTATTACTGATAATGTTAAATAACAAGGCCCTAACTTCCAAATACAGTAATATCAATGCAAATCATCAATAGATAAAACAAAGTTCATCCTACTTGTTTCCACTTATCTTGAAAAACCATCAAGTTGGTACATTTACATGAAAGATAAACAGTTTGTACGAAGCAATGCTAAGAATTATAACAATCTGGAATCTGGAACAAGTGGAGTACTCATTTTTAACTCAAAACTACATTCAGATCCTCAACATAATAATAAATTCTACGTGAATCTGGTAGTATTCATGTGGCGAACCAATACAACATATTTTAATTATGAAACGAAACGTAACAGAGATGAAATCATAAATTAATGAGCTATTCCATGTACGTTTAGCAATGTGTTGAAACTTAAACACAGGTCATGGACAAATGAACACTATAAAATGACAGAAAATAGAACATGCACAGTCTAAACCATTGAGTAAACAGTATGGCTAAGTGGTTTACAATGACGCAAGATATTTTTCCTTACCTTTAAAATGTCTTCAAGTGTGTTCGGCCAGAAATCACCTTCAAAATAAGGGATTTCTGTAGGCGAAACAAGCTGATGATCTAGGGCATCCTTGAGGATATTTTTATAGTCCACTACAATTCCTTCTATGATAGCTTTTTGAAGCATTCGACGATACCATTCCTGAAGACGTTTGGCTTTGGGAATTTTCTGTTCAGCAGGATGCATGTGAAATATGTAATCATCTCCTTCGCCAGGTGGACAGGCCCATATGTGTGCCATAGCATATCCACATCTCTTAGCGTACAAGAGATAACCGACAAGAATTTCGTGATACACATCTGTTCTATACTGTTTTGGTCGAAAAAAGAAAACTGAATCGAGGTATGCAACATAAACTCTTCTGCGATTAGGCTGTGGACTTTCTGATCCATACTCTTGCACGTACAAGCCGAAGAAACAAACATCTTGCCCATCAATTTCCTGAAAAGCGAAAACAGCCTTTAGACGATAAGGGAATGACTCAGAAAGTTCTCCACTTTCTGTGAATCGTGCACGCATTAATGGCTTAACTTCTACAACTTTGTCAGAACTTGCCAACACACGGATGGTGACCTCGCCTGTGCCAACTTCTTTCTTTTTCAGGAAGTCATTAACACGTTTCTCTAGAAAATTGCTTAAGCGTGTAACAGGTAGCTTTTTGGCAGTAAACCGGTTTTCTTTTCTCTTCATACCACGCTCCCGCAAACAACCAGGACAAACGAAGCCGCTTGGCCATATTTCATTCATGTGTAAGGCGCAAACCTTGTGCCACTTCCTACCACACTCCACACAGATGACAAACTCCTCCTTCTCCTTCACATTATTTTTGCGCTTTTCAAACAGTTCCCTTTTGATTGGACTAAAAAAGGATTAATTAGTTGCAAATTTGCAAAGTGAAGCTTACATAGACTGATTCGGTTCATCTGCCAAAATAATTACATCTCCAGCCTCACTGAAGCACTTTTCACATTGGTAGTACTTATCGCAAACAAGACCAATTTGTTTGTCACTAAACATATATATGTAAAAACAAGGACTTACTTGTTAAGATAAACAAAATAAGTTGCATCTCGATTTATTGTACACAGGTTTGGAGAAGAGCAGTATAAACCTTGGGGTTGATATTCGTAATCCTGACCGCAACAAAACCCCATAGCCTGCATCACTTGGTCTATCCGACTTTGAAAAAGTTCTGCTAGCTAATTTGAAAAGTTAATTGTGAAAGTAACTTGACATACCTTAGTACACATCTTGTAGACTTTAGAGGTCTTCTTGTTATATAACCACGCATTGTTAAACATCAATCGAAAGTGATCTACAACTTGCCAAGGATCTGTATATTTACCATCCTCCAAGTTATTTCGGATGGTAGTTAAATCCATGGGCTCCTTAATAACCTGAAAATAATCTGGTATGTGGAGCATCACTGGATCGACTGGAGCACGGAATGGTTCCGCATACTTATCGTTGTAAACTTCCTCATGCAATTGTAAAAAGTGACGTAACAACTCCTCCCTAGACCACTTCTTCCACTTGCTTTCGTCTGGTTTGACGGATAACATGCTTGAACTGATCGGAACACTGCTTGAATTAAGTGTTGAAGTTGAGTCAACAGAGAACGAATCATTATTAATCGAGGGTTCATTAGAGGGTGCATCTTCTGATTTAGCTTCAGTCTTAATTATTTTGCTCTTATCAGGTTTGCAGTCCCCCGACGCAGATACCACTGGAGTGCTGGAAGCTTTAACATCTTCTGTTGGCTTCACAGGTTGCGGAGTAGTCTTTATGTTAGTCACTGATGAAGACACAGCAGGAGACTCAGAAGACCCCACAGTGTTTGAGT